TACATGGGTAAAGTCCCTTCGTTAGACGACTTAGACGAAGAAGCTTTGGTGGAAGACGGTGGAACAAAAACCGGTAAAGGCAGAGTCTTCAAAGGAGAAGTTGAGCTTTTTTGAAAAATTCAGGTAAAACATTAACATATAAAGGATTTTTCATGAATAAACAAATTCAAATACCTTTCTCTTGACGACGAGAGGGGCATCATCATCATCATCATTGTCATCGGGCAAACCGATGAAGCTGAAGCTAGCCGTTTGTGGCTGGAAACACCTTTAGCTGTTCCAATTTGAGCAGGTGGGGAACTAGATGGAATAGCAGGATGTTTAACACGAGCGGATGGGGATTTCGAAAGAGAAATAGGATTCCTGATAGATACAGGAATGGCAGGAATAGGAGAAACGGAAGAAGTCTCTGGCCGTTCCTGTAGGTGGAAGACATGGTTAGCATCAGTTGCAAACAACCTACGCTTTACAGACGGTTAGAATTGTTCAAAGGGAGGGTGAATGACAAAAGTGGGATTAAAAGGGGCTAAGGAGAAACCATTTGTCAAAAATGTATTGCGAGCATCAATGGCATGTGCCTCAGTTTTATTGATGAACGTTCTGTCAGACTGTTGGAAAAATAGGGAGGTACATGCCACGTTTGACCAAAACCAAGCTGACGGGCAACAAATTGGGGAGCATATATCTCAACCCATGCCTTAACATTTGTTCCAGTTAAGATGTCATGAAACAACTCTTTCCCAATCAGATATTGAGCCCAAACGGGCAAAAAGGTGCTCACATCATCCATAGTAGAAGGATGTTGCACGTAAATTGGAACTGAATGAACAGAGAAAGCAAAAAAGGTAGAGATTGAATTTAAGTTATAAAAGAATGTGAAGACGTCCTTATTAGACATATTAACAGGGCTCAATTGGTTGATGACTAGCCCGTAACAACTGGCCAATCGAGGAGGAATTGATGGAGCACCAAGTTGTGAAAATATGCTCTCAACCACAATTGAGCGAGCCAAAGAGGCCCGCTGCCAGTAGGAGATGCACCGTTCCTTAATTGGAATTGAAGGGAAGTCATGCCTCGATAAAAGACAGCAAAGAATAGTGAACAAAGATTTAGAGACCTACCACACGCTAATTATTGCGCTATGGGCAAATAAGTCATAGAAGGTTTAACGCTGGGTACACAAAGAATATATTTACAAAGCCAAATTTGAAGAAAGGCAACACGTTCAACATGGTTAGGTTTGGCACTACAATTGTTATAAAGTTCTTGCATGCCCGAATAAGAATCAGTGTATCTCTTGTCAAATTTTGGGACAGCAGCAGTATGCAAAATGGCAGGAAAAATGGTGTTGCCCAGGGATGGAAGATTAGCTAAGGCTCCAACATCTCTCAGAGTAATGAACATTGGGCCAAGTGGGAAGATAAAAGTATTATATTCAGAAGACCAAAAGCTCAAAGCAATGGGGAAAATCACATGATCATAGATTGGGGGACAGAGAGCGATTTCTAATAAATCAGAAATCCTAGCACGATCAAAAATTGCCTTGGTAGGGCCATGATTTGTCATACGTGCATGCCAAATGCGGAAAGTAGTATCAGTTTTGGGCCAAGTGTGAATACCTTTTTAACGGATTGGCTTTAGCGGAAAAGGGTTTAGAAAATGAGGATCTTGAGTGTAAGGGAACAATTGAACCACCGCTGCTTGCCCAACAGAATCAGCGTCATTAAATGATGGGCCTAGGTAGAACTTTTGGAGATCAGGATTGGCTGGTGAAAGGAAAGCTGGATTTATATACGGTCTGGTGAGAAGCTTTTGGAAGTTTTCAAAACTAAGGGAGTTGTCTGAGGAGCTCTTTGAAGTCGCCATCTTCTCAAAGGTTTTGGGAGTGTAGTTGAGAAGCAAGAAGATAAACAGTGATCTTTATAGGTAAAAAAGAAACACGACGAACGAAATAAACAGTTCTTGCAGGACGTGGGTATAATGGTGCGATGAAGTGGCGTGTTATTTGGTTTATAGGAGTTGTGTGATGTTGCACTTTTCGAGCGTAGAAGGTCACTGCCAAACGAAATAATGATTAGGATTCTCAGCCATTTTGGGATTTCAAGCATTGCGGAAAATATAAAAGATGAATATGGTATAAGATTAATAATTAATATTAATTTTGCCATATTGGGGGGTAATTGTTGACATACAAAAATGAGGATCAATTAAATGATCCAAAGAATGAAGCACGGTTAGGAAATTCGAAGGATGGACCCAAATGAAACCATGTAAAAAATCAAGACGGAGTTATGTAGCGGAGGCCCATCATCGCTCAAGCTTGCGAGACGCCCAAGATTTGGGCGAGCCCATCATCGCTCAAGCCTACGAGATGCCCAAGATCTGAGCGAGTATAGTGTCTTGATTGTTATTTAAAGCAACAGTTATTGAAACAGTTAATGGGTAATCTTATCACATTCCACGATCTAAGAATCTCGATTGCAGGCAGGTAAATGATGGGAGTAATGGCAGCAGTTGAAAATGGTAGTTTCTTGATAAGTCATCCATTATGGAGAAAATGGGTAGTTACAGGACGAATCAAATGACTCTCAAACAGAGAATTATGTAATTTCATTTCTTTTTTCTTGTTAACTTTCAATTACTTTACGAATTCAGTGGCCCATTGAAGGCATTTCGCTTATTACAAATTGTAATCTTCATAAATAAAGCACCCCTCGTTGGGACTTTGTCTCGAGAGGTTGTCGTTCCTTACACAATCGTCTGAACCTTCTTTTAATTGTTAGTGATGTTCAATTTCCATGTGAAACAGGTGCTACAGAGGTGTTAATCTGGTTAGGGTCTCCTGGTGCAACCCCTAATCCTTGCCATCGGCCAGTTTAACAATACTCTATGTAACAAAGAATTGAATTTGCGGTAAAACTTAGAATCGGAATGACTAAGAGCGATTAGAGAAATAAGATGATTATGCGGCCCTATATATGTACTTATGCGGTAGTGTTGAGTAAGCCTTGAATGTTTTTAACACGATCCCTTCAAGGAATGTGGCAAAATCATGTTTTAGAAGACAATATCTACAAAAGATATTGGTGGTACAAAACTGTCGTCGTTTACTAGTTACATGGGGATTGGTGGATTTCTTATAATCTGTACTGATGCACTTGTAGCCATTTTTAGAGAAGATACTAAAATCTCATTACAACAATCAAATAGATGGCATTCTTCGACACCGTGATGCAATCATATCACATCTTAGCTGGACACGTAACTTTCTAAGCTTTCACAGTTTTGGGCATCCTAAAGATATGGAGGTTTGTGATACTTTTGATTATATATGCTTCAAGAAGACATGCCACCCTTATTATTGACAAAACTGAACCAGTATGATCTCCTTTCCTGCTTTTTACTTTTATGTAACCACCTTTTGCCTTTATACTTAGGCTCCGTTTGATTGGCTGAGTTTTCCAGGGAAGTAGGAAAATATTTTCCTACTTTCACTTTTTTGATTGTTTGATATGCGAAATTTTTCACGGAAAATGTTTACCTCCCTTTTTCTAGGTACAACCCTTTGATGCACAAATGGTGGAAAATATTTTTTGTNTCAAACGAATGATAATCAGTATGGTAAATTTTTTTTTTTCAAAATTTTTTTTTGACAATGTGAACAAATTTAGACTCAATAGTAGAAAAAATTATCATTTTAATGGATAAATTTCATAAAAAACGAAGTCAAATGGACACCAAATTTTCAACATTTTCCATGGAAAATTATAAAAATCAAACACAATTAATTACAATTTTCAGTAAAATATTTTCTAAGAAAATCAATTCCCTATAAAACATTTTCTTTCCATCCATTTTCCACCCTTGCAATCAAACGGACCCTTACTGTAAATGATCTCTTGTTTTTTTATTTTCTTAATATCCTTTTCTTTTTCATATTTTTGACTTAAATGGAGATTTATTTTAGTTAAGAAAAAATATCCTTATGTAGTCATTTACATATTACTTTGAACACGCCCTTCACGTGTAAACGGGGTTTATTTTTTACCTTAAGAGCCTATCATGTGCAAAAATGAATTTAAATGGGTTGAAGCGAGACTTGGATTAGCACACGTTTTTATAATTTGACCGATGATAAAATTTGTTCTTTTTTCTATTTTTCATATTCATTTGTTTTAATGATATTAAATTTGTCAGAATTTATATGAAATTATAGTGTTTTTAACAAGGTTAAAAAATCAAAAAGACATGCTTTGTTAATCACCAGAGTAATTATGCTTCGGTGGGAGTCAGTTGATATTGGCTAATTTTTTGGAATCAAAATAAACTTAGTAGTTCTAATTTTAAACAATCTCATTCCACCAATCAACTTGAGATAAAGAGTAGTTGGTTTCCCCAGACATTCGTTTGACGTGACTTTTATTTTTACTTTCTGTAGAAGAGCTTATTAAAAAAATTACTTTAATTTTTATTTAGAAACTAATTTCTAAAATAGTTTTTTTTATTCCGGAATTGCTTTGAGAAAGTCACATTAAACTAACTTCTTCTAAAAGTTTTTTATTAAAAAAAAAACTTCATAAAATTAGTCAAACAAGTCTAAAAGCCCATTTTGAATCTCAAAAGTCATATCAAACGAGTCCTAAACACTACCTAGTTCACCTTTTTTTGGATTTTCCCTTGGGGAATTCATACGCAAATTTCTTGTCCTGGTTAAACAATAAAATTAAGCATACTATAAACTCAATGCTCAACTAGCCTATTTCAATATTCTTATCATTCTCTATATAAAGATAATATCTATAACCTTTACGCCTACTATAAACAGCTCAAAATATGCTACCTACATGCAGATGCCAAGAGGAAGCATTAATTCTAGACGAGCTAGAGCCTAAAAAGGAAAATGTCCCTGTTCTATTTGTCGAAACAGAAATTCCGACACGAATCATCCATTAACATATTTATGGAAACTGACGCGCTCATCTGAAACTACCTGCAAGAAATCACCTTAACCTAAAAGCTACACCAATCAAACGACGCATTTTAGCTGCAATGATCGACCTATGGTGAGTAGTCGTAGCACTTTTACCTCTATTTGGAGATAAGATTCTTTTTCTTTTCTTATTCACAGCACCTTCACTGCGTGACCCCCTCAAATTCAATGTAGCCATTAACTGCTGACCTCTGGCACCCGGAATGCTTTTCCTTATGAATGAACAGGCCTGATTTGTTTCCAGATCCTTCTCCAATTTCCTCTTGCAAGATATACCATCCACCAATCTCAGATGATCACGCAGAATAGAGAAACCAGCATCTGAAAACAAAAGACAGTATTGAATGTTAATAAAATCAATCGAATAGGAACTTCCACAGAACCAAGTATGTTTAAATTTACCTGGTTGCTCTTCTCCGTGTATCTCTGGACTTGAACATCTCTGAGGTGTTTGAGGAGTAATATTTGGATTATTTCCAACCGCACCAACCTCAACGTCAATGATAACTTTTTGTAGTGAACTTGAAGAAATTACTTTGTGAGCTTCATGTGAAAGTACATCAGATGAATTATTTGCTACTGTTGGCAAAGAAGTAGACTCTTTGGGCAAATCACGTATTGTTTTCGACCTATTATCTTTAATTTCCATGTTCTCAACTCCACTATGTTTTTGTTCACTACAATCCTCTGTAAGAGATTCATCAGAAATGTCATTGCTTCCATGGACATCAGAACCATTATTATTTTGCACAAGAGGAGATGCATGGATGTCTGCATTATCCAACACTGATTTGGGAGAGGTGTTCAATATAGTTGAGTCACTGCCTCGTTTTTGAGATTCAATTAAATTTGAAAACCAGGCTGTGCCCTGTTTTGCATAAAAAAGAATGTATGCCTCCTGTGACAGCACAAACTGTTCATGAACCCAAATGACCTACAAAATTGCAGCCAAGCATCAATACCTATCTTCATATTCAGTGGGTCCTAGGATATTTGGGAAGGCAGAAGTCGTCAGGACTTGTAAAGCTAAATGCGATGATCAAGAAATATGAAGAAAAAAGAAAAGTCCTTGTTTGGTATTGCTTAGATGCTATGGGTCCTAAAGAACGTGTGAGAAGTAATGGGGGTCCTCCGAAATGTGTGGTTCAAAAGTATGTTTGACCAACTTAAATTATAATTTAAGTTTTGCCAAACATGCTCTCAACGTCACCAACAAAACCCCCTTATTACTGTTCGACAACTCCAGATGACAAAAATAAGAATAGAGATACAGTTTCATTGTTTATGGAGTAATTCAATCAGCAACCCAAAATAAATTCAATACCAGTGGTATCGGTACATTACCTTTGAATCATCAAACTTGCACCACATATCAGGCAATACACGAATAAAGCAATAGAAGTGGCCCGAAGTAGATGTGAATCCAACATGCACCACAACAGCATAAAGTTCATACTTGAGTTCTGCCTGCAAAACAGAGAGAGAGAGAGAGGGAATTCACAAAATCTGTTTTGTCTCAATATTCAAAAGTAGAATACTGAATAAGCTAATATTCCCTAAAAATATTATTCTGCCACAACACAACACACTCAGTATTTGTCTCACCAAACCACTAAATAATTTCACCAACGGAGGACGAAACAGATGCTATTGATAACTAGGTATAAGTGCAGTTTGTTAGTACTGTACTGCAACTATTTAATTACTCAGCATCAAGTATTTTATGACAAAATTCATGCCTACTGAGCCTCAATGCCATTAGAGACAACATATAAAGTTTTTCACATGCTAAGAAAAAACTCACATTTGTTTTGTCACCACAAGTGAAAGGTAGCAGATCCAACTCTAATGGAAATGCTACATGCTTGTCAATCTTCTCAACATATCTACCATCACTTTTGAATCTCTTCAAGTGAAATGCAGCTATTGAAGGTGCATGGTCTAACACAAGTTGTTTCTCAACTGATACTTGCTCCTTACACTCTTCACACGTAAACTTTGTCTCTGGATCTTCAATTTTTTCAACCTTTGTGAAGGATTGTAAAGCTATTAATAGCGTGTCAGCATCCCCAATCTCCAAACTCAGGTCGATTGAAGGCTCATAAGTATCAGAAGAGTGACCACAGTTGCAACACTTCAGCTGCAATTTCAAAGACCAACTAAATAAATGATAATATATTTTAACGCATAACAAATACATAGACATGTGCACATGCACACACAAAAAGTTGGTTTCAACAGTGAATCAAATTTTAGGTTGTACACAGAAAAATCTTGAACTCATACTTTGCTGACAAGACGACCTCCAAAAACCCGCTTCACAAAGTTGTCATTCCGTGAAGACACTGCTTCATTTGGCTTCAAATTTTCAGAACTTTCAAGTCTATCCAAAAAGCACTGTAGAAATTCATGTGCATCTTCCTGTTGAAACCTTCGGAAACTTGAAGAAAAATCTAGCCCAGAGTTAAGGAATCGTAAAGCAACCAAGAATCTGGCACATAAGTAACATCCTCATAACTAAATATCAATTATAATAAAGATATAACTGGACAAAGCTTTTGCACTTCAATTTCAATCAGTAGACAATACTCATCCTATTGTTCTAAAACGAGAAAGATAAATCTTGTTACTCAAACAATCAAAATAGAATGCCCCATGCAGTTTTGCTACACTGACATCTTTGTTGACATCCCATGGTGTGGCAGGCTCTAGCCATTTATTGAATAACACTTATTCAAATCAATAACCAATTTTTTTACACATCATGGGATGTCAACCAAGATGTCAAAATTGGATTTCAGTTTTGCTACACTGACATCTTTGTTGACATCCCATGGTGTGGCAGGCTCTAGCCATTTATTTGAATAACACTTATTCAAATCAATAACCAATTTTTTTACACATCATGGGATGTCAACCAAGATGTCAAAATTGGATGTCAAAGTAGCTTTATTCATGCCCCATGAGAACACTAAATGGCGACATTTAAAAAAAAATATATATATATGCACATTATCTATGATTATGCGACTGAAAAAATTATGGCATAATTGATAGAAACGCAAAAGAGGATACAGCTCAAATTGTTGACAAGCTTCCAAGGGGAGACAACTCCGGTAGCAGAAATCAATGCAAGTTCAACAAGCTCACGCAGATCACAGAGAACACAGAACCCTTCACTGTTAACTGCAATTCATTATCAAAGGAGTATATAAACCCAATTCCAAACATGAATAAGAAAATCCAAGTCCAAGCTTCTTAACTAAAAACAAAATTTTGCCATGCAAGTCATACTTTTTAGGATTTGATCAAACTAAATAGAGAGAGAGAGAGAGAGAGAGAGAGAGAGAGAACTGATAATTCAAATAAGAGCACAATATCGATCTTACAATGACAAGCAGTCGAATGGGAAGAGTTAAAAAGGCCTTGAAGAAGTGGCACGGTGTGTATAAAGCATTGTAACACTGCATTCATAAAGCACGTGTTGCCCAAATTTTCTAACCCTCCTCCCTGCAAATTTTCGCACTTAGATAATTAAATGTCAAATTAAAAAGAAAGGCAAAAATCACTAATAACAAGAATTATACAGGCAGACAAAAAATATTGAGTAAAAAAGTTACCCTAGCACAAAATGGTGTATCGCAGGCCAAAATGTCAAAATTCAACAACATAACATATATTGACCAAGATAAAAAAGAAAAATAAAAAAGAAATTGAAAAAACTATACCAATATAACAGGCTTGACATCTTCCAATAGCATAGTCAAAACAGGTGGATCGGGTTCAATTTCCACTGGTGTTTTCTGTGGATGCCTTTCACCCCAGTCTGAGGCGGAGGGTTTAGCATTCAAAGCCAAAGGTTCTCCGTCAAAATCAATATTTTTGGAGCATGGCCCAGCTATCGGTGACAAATTCGAGGGTCCATCGTCTCTAATTTCACACCCTTTCTCCTCGTTCTCTTCATCCGTATAGAAAACTGCGTCTCGTACGTCAGAATCATCCTGCAATGCTTCAATGCCCCACGTGGATGAATTTTCGAGTTTGGAGCAAGAAGCCAGAGTTTGACCATCTAGGGTTTTGGAGGAATCAAGAGAATTTGGAGGTGAGATTTCAAAAGAATTATTTTCCATTGCAAGTTGGATAACGAAGTGGAGCAAAATTAGTGTTGAAATTAGGGTTTGGATGGCGCATGAAAGGGAATGTGAATTTAAGAGTGGAGGGAAAGTCCGTTTTAAAGAGAGGGAGATGAGTTTTTGGAATGTTTTGAGAGAATAGCATTCCAACTAGGAATTCTAACGGGATTAGAATATCAATTTTTTTAGGTGAAAGACCACAATAAATTTAATTAAGTTAGATAGGGGAGGGGTTGTGTGTATATATATAACTAGTGTACGCACGTGCGATGCACGTGTTGCAGTTTAGTTGGATATTTAATAGCGTGAAGTGATTTTAATGTTTTTTTTTTTTTTTACTATAAATAAGGTAATGTTTGTATAATTGTATGAATTGATTGTTTTGTTAGTTAAAGTCGTGGTTTTCATGGAAGGATTCTCCAGCCCAACTCAATACACATTCCTGTCTAACTACACAAACAATCAGCTTCCTTCCAACCATTTAGAATGAGTTTCGTTACTTTTAGCTACATTTACATGTAAGTTGATGTCAAGAATAAATTATGTCGTTTATGTATTTTTCATTTAGTACCTAGTAATGTTTGCCAACAACTCTGTTCGTTCATGTAGTTGCTGCTATGTTGCGTTCATAATGTATAAACACTTGTATCCCATAATCGATTATCATTCGTGGAGATTTTTGGCAATTCTATGGTCCTGTTGTTTTTATTCTTTGGTTTTTAATGTTAAAATCAGTAGCGTTCGTGTTCCTTGTGCGTTTATCACAATAACTATCTCTATTTGATCGCCTAGAATTAATAAAAAGAGCCCCCTGAAGTGCTGCTTAATTTACATAGATTCACGAAACAGTTGCGGTCTCGAGGGTCGAAAATCTAATCTCCCCGAGTCCCGAGAAAGGGCATTAAGCAAATCTTTTTATACAATTTTAAAACGAACTTGAAATAAAATCGAAATATGTCTGCCTATAGTACAACAAACTCGGGGCCTTTCTCAAGTCATCTACCTGCAAATTAAAATCGAACCACCAAGAAACTAAAAATAAATAAATAAAAATGAATCAAATACGAGGAGATAATAGATCAAATTTTGTGTGAACAGACAAAATGTATAAAATGTATAATGTTGCATTATGTCTAAAATCATAAAATGCAGGAATCGTTTAGCGAAAATAAAGCTTTCTATTTACATGTGTTCAACCAGTAAACATCTCAAAAGCATATTATCTTAATAGATAGACCAAAGACAAAATATGAAATTTAATGATATCTTTGGATGTCCTCTAAAATGAACGCCCATCATCTGAGTTATCTCCAACCAAATCAGAAATCGAACTCTCCTGTTGCCTGAGAAAGAACATCGCACCCAAATAATTATTCACAATTCCCAGATTAATGAGTAAGCAAAAATGTACGATGAGGAAAAGGAAACGAGCACAAGACAAATCACACCTTATTGAACAGAATGTCTTTATTGTTTACGTGCATGATGCCGTCCTTCAAAGTGTATTTCCACCTGCTTTTCGTACGTGTCACCTATATATCGATCATCCATTTTAATAAATTTCATCGGCATAGATCAATGCAACAGAATTATGGGATCGACATTATAATAAGAAAACTACAAAAAATACCACTCAACCTCCAGGGTAAACTCTATTCTGGTCGTTATCTTGTCAAATTGAGCTAAAATCAGGTGTGTAGTGTTCAGATCCTCCCCTTGGTCCACATCATCTAATTCGTCATCATCATCCTCGTTCAGAGGTTCATCATCATTGCCATCTTCAGTGTCATTCTAGGGAAGGAGAGCAGGAGTGGCTACTTGTATCTCTGAAAAACGTGCAGAAATTGGCATTAGCGAATGAATACTTCAAGACAAACATATAGTTCAAATTAGATTATCAGTTTACCATTTGTGCAGGTGTGTTCACTATATTGTAGTCTTCATTGGCAACTCCTTGATAATTGTATATCTTCAAAGATAGAATTAGAAACTCAGGTTAGTTTAGATAATAATGCAGCATACCATGTATCCCATGGAAAAAGACGGAAAACATACAATTACAATAACAAAAATTGAAAGTAAAATTTGTTTCAAGTTATCTCATACAAAACCATGAAGACGTAACATGAAGCCTATATGTGACAGATCCACAGAGATTAGGTTATACACACACCTATTAAAGATGAAAGTCGATCAGCATGAAGCCTATATGTGACAGATCCTCAGAGATTAGGTTATACACACACCTATTAAAGATGAAAGTCGATCAGCATCATTACAAACCTATTATCATCATTATAGTACAAACACAATGGCATTATTGTATTCCTCATTTATAACCGAGAATACAATTTTGAATATATAGTAACCCAGTTTTCAATCTTTGATCTCTGAATCTTGCATCTACAATTTTGATTTTCTTAAACAAGAATGAGCTATTTACTGCTTTAAAAGCTCACCAATTATAAAACGATTTAGAACTTCAAACTTGAGGGAGCAAGAAATAGTTCGACAAAGTTACTTTATTTAAGGGTTAATTGAATCAGGTTGATATTTAGACAATTGGATGCTTGTTTAGTGAAATTGTTTTCTATATTTATTTTGCAGGAAAACTAATGGTATTCCACAAAACATGTCATCAAATATAAAAATTTCTTTTGAATATATTACCTCAAGCCGTTACTGAATGGCTGACTTTAATTTGAACTCCCACCCTTCCCTGACCTTCCATCATTTTCAGTTACAACCCAACTATACACATTTTTCCTTTCAAATTACCATAATAACATGGCAAATGAGAAACGTGGAAAGGCGTACCAAGTGATGTTGGATATTATGCCAAATATTCAATTAAAACGAACCTGAAAATCACGGGGTTAAGTCAAGTTATAATAAGACTTACTGAGTAGGCGTTAGTAAAGGTACTTATAACCCATATTGGTGTGAACTTACAAACACTACACTGGTGGTAAGGAAAAAAAGCGGGTGGGACATTAGAAGCGAGATGTCTTAAGGGCCAAACATAAGCACCACAAACACACAAAAAGGAAAAGAAAAAAAGGTTAGTGAAACCCGAATGTCTATTCATCTACGCTTGTGTGCATGGAAAGGGCACAATGCATTTGTGTGTACATATAAACATGTGTACGGACATGTGTGCATGCACGCACGCACGTGCTATAAATCTAGAACAAAGAAGCAAAGCTCACATTGGGTGTAGAAAGAACATCGTCATATGGATCAGGAATGGGACCATCAAACTGAGGAATCCTAGAAGACATTCCCCCTTGAACAAAGAGCTGTTGGGTAGAATTCACGGTCTCATACCGATTGTCGTTACCTTGAACTACCTGTCCAATGGTCGTAAAATGATTAACCAAGATACAGTGCATAAAAAAGAGACGAACATTGCAGAAGGTAAAAAGCGTCAGGCAACCAATTTAAGAGGCTAGTAGTAGAGCAATTCAAAAATAATTGCCAAACAGGAAATCATATATTGTCATTTTCTTCTTCACAAAACAAGTCCACAAGAAGTCAAGCCCATTCAAATATAATAAAAGCATACACAACTAAGCTTTCCATGAAAACCTCATCCTTGTGAACCTAGAGTCAAGTTAACAATAACATTTCTCCTATTCTTGCTTGTTCCCAAGATGTTTAGCATGGATCATGAAACAAGGGAACAGCCCCTCCAAAATACAACATACAAAAGATGTTACTTTTCCTTTCTTGTTTTTAATTTTTCTTTTCTCCAATTTTTTACTTTTCCTGTTTCTGGTCAGAGGAGAGAAAATTTGTATATTTCAGATAGCAATGAAGTAGGTTCTATATAATGAATACACATAAAGGATTAGCTATCAATTAATTTGACCAACACCCGACAGTGTGATCATTTGTCAATAATGAGTGGGGCTTCAAACAAAGACAGCTTAATAATCACATCAAGGTAATGAATCAAGTACATTTTTGTTGTGCCCGTGTAGGTCAATATTCGACAAAAGAGTGAATAAAAAATTATGTCTCATTGAATTAAATAGATGACATTTAAAAAAAAAACGATATCAAAGGAAGCAAACGAAAAAAGGAGTTAAAAGACATTGATAACAGAGGGTGGCTCAGAAAGTTGGACAATATTCAAGCTAGAGAAGAAATGAAGAGTGGTCTAAATTTTTTTTTTTTTTGAATAATCAAGGATGGCGATGAATGATTACTGCAACTTAACAGTGGCAATCTATGTTAATAAGTAGAGAAACAGATCTACCTGAAGTCATCAGATAAAGAATCTGCAGCTCCATCTTGCTGCAGAATGTATCCACCATTATGGTATTGTGGAGGAAAGTCTTCCCTTTTTCGCTTTCCAGAAGGCAATGTGAAGAAATCCTGCATTTATTTATCCGGCATTACAAATCTGTCAATGCAAATACAGTCTAGAAAACAATCAAAATAATATTCCAATACTCCATAGTAATTTAGCCATTTAAAATTGTCATTACCATAAGATTTTGGTTAAATCATAGTTTACTTTGTGCTATAAATAAATCTTCAATCGTATGTTTGATTTTTAATTGCTTATATCAGTGATGCCAAAGGTGATCTGAAACTTTTATTATAATAATAGGAGATTCAATTTAAAACCTTAAGAACAAGCCAAAAGCAATAAATTGTGTTTTTTCATAGGCTATAAGCAGCAAGAGTTTAACATCTCTTACACTTTCAGTTTACTTCTTTAACAAATTGTACTTTTTCTCTCTTTCTAGTCATATAACATCAAGCATCTAGTCCTATTTATAGACACCATTATCTCAAATGGTGTGCAATTCCTATATACTGCACATGTGGAAAAATAAGGACACCTCCAGAATTCTACGATTAGTTTGATTTGGAACAAGATCTAACACTTAAAGAATGAAATATGCATCCTATGATGAATTCAACAGCAGTAGGAATTATTTGCTCGAGAATTTATTATGTTTCAAGATTCAACGTTCTTCTATTAA